GCTTAGCTAATCCTCTGTGAAGATGCGTTTGTTTCCTTTATTTTGTTTATTGAAAGCCCTTGTGTATTTGTAGGTTTCATGCGAGCAGGTACTTTATCACAATAATTTTTTACTATCTATTGGTGATGATATGTGTGGCAAACATAAATATTTTCACTTTCTTGGTTAGGTAAAATTATCATTAAAATTCAAAATTTATAGAGTATTTCCAAAACAGCATCTTTTAAGTATGAAAATAAGAAGTAAGATTTTTGTTTCTGCCATCCAGAAACAAATAGCATTGCCTTTTGATTATTACCACAAATAAGGAACTAAAAATGCTGATGAGGTCCTGTTCTAAATACCACTTGAAAATTTTTAAATGACATCAGGTAAGTCCCTTAAGCTATTAGCACTTACATTTCTTCACTGCAAAAAGGTGATAATAGCCATCTTCTGGATGTTAAACTTTGACCAACCAACCGTGCACACATTGATTCCTCTTTTATTGGAATATTAAGTTCTTTGATGTGTCTGTGTTCATGAGAGGGCTGAATATTTTTTAATATCCCTGTAGGGCTATAGAAATAAGACTGAAAAAGTAGATGAAAATTAATCCTCAGATTGGAATTTTGGCTACTACTGTGAATTTTCCTAAGAGTCATTTGAGCAAATGTGACTATTAGAGGTAACCCTAGAGTGGAATTCACTCACCTAAGTCTGTGTCTTCCAAAACATGATACCCCAACTTGAAACATCAGCATCATCTAGAAACTTGTTAGAAAGCAAAATCTTGGATCTTACTCTACGTGTGCTCAATCAGAAACTCTAAGGTTGAGGCCCATCTATCTGTGTTTTAACAAGGTTTACAGGTAATTTTGATATATATCAATATTTGAGAGCCACTGTTATAAACTAAAACAAAAACAAATTAAGATAGACTTATAGAAGTTAAACCTCTCAGACTTAGCAACAGAATTTGTGCTGTATTGGATATATATATATGTATTTTTTGACATTCATTCAGGGAGACAAGAGACTTTGTGTTAAGCCCAGGTGGGTTTTTATCTTAACTTTAATGCATCACTAAAAGTGTTGAAAGAACTCGGGAAATTTGACAGTTTTGATAACCAACGATTAAAATATTGAGAAAAAGCAGAAAGAGGTCATTAAGGAAAGGATGGTTGCTGCTGAGATGTTGGTATCAGAAATCCAATAATTTTTTTCTGTGTACAAATAAAAGCTAAGAAAGGGTATAAGGCACATGTTAAAAGATTATAATCATTTGAGGGCACTACTCATGTTCAGCATTTGTTTTTATAAATAAAAGTTTGATTTGGTATGAAAACAATGATCTTGAGATTTAGTTTAGTTTTTTTGTGAGATTAAAAGATCAAAGAAGTTGAAGAGATTTACTTCATTACAAAGTTATTAATGCTTTATATACTTTATACTGTAGCAAATTCATTTTTTTTTTCCTTTGGTAGCAGAAATCGCTTGTTTTTCCCCAAAGAAGATGAGTTATAAAAGAAAGGTATGACAACTTTTGTACTTTTAACATAAAAAGAACAAAATTATTTTTATAGTTGTGGTAGTTTAAAATAAGTTGCTGATATGAGCATTGTGGAAGAATGATATTTAGAAAATGTAGCCACAGTTTGGTTTGAATGTTGCTGGCTATGTACCAGTGGTTCTCAGAATAGTTGTTTTGAAGAGATGAAGGGCAAAATGGTGAGTTAGTCAGAATACTCTGGAAGTCTTACATTAAATAACTCATGTTCCTCAATGTTGTACACCCATAAAGAATAGTGGCCTTAGATTATCTGAAGTCTAACAAAATTTTTCTTTAGGAATGCCTTATTTATATAAAATATTACATATGAATTCAACTTTAATATTATGTATTTCTACAAACATGGAGTAAGAAGAGAAGCTGAATGTTTCACACTGATTTTGGGGGGGTCTCTTTTGTAACTAAGATATCAAGAGTTTTTTGTTCTTGTTGTTTTACTTACCATTTTTTTTTTTCAAATACTTCTTTCACTTCTCCCAAATCAAACCATAAATGACATTAAGGATGAGACTGAGAGTCGGAGCGGTCAGAAGGTCTGCCTTGGCCAATCAATAGATACTTGCAAAAAAGACACTTCTGCATATGAAGTCACCTATTGATTGTTTAAAACCGTACTCTTCCTCCTAATCCTTTTGATTCATTATCATTAATGGAGTGAAGTAAGTTTGTTAATATCCAATTTTGGGGGATGCTTGTTTGTGAAAGAAAATCAAAGTGACTGCTTTAGACCTCTGAATTTGGAAAGCAGGTCGTATGAAAGTAGAGAGCCTCTTTAATTTGATCTTCTATTAGCTGCTGTCAGTGTCCTTCAGTCTTTGATTAACCCCCTCCTGTCAGCTCCATGGGAAGCAGTACACGATCCACAATCTTCTTTTCTTCAGTCCTAGTCAGTGGTCTCGCCAGGGACCTTGCTCAGCCTCAGTTTTTGCCTGCCTTCTTCTCTGGACATCTTCTTAGATCCTTGGCCTCTGTTGTTGTCCTAAGAGTGTCATCAGTTGCTCTGTCAGGTGTGGTCTAATCAAGATGTTCTTTTTAAGCACCTACATTGTCCCTGAAAACATACTAAATGTAGAGGTAATGCTGAGTCAAGGCAAAATTACTGTAGATGTAACTTATGGATACCTTGAACTTGAGGAACATAATACACTTTCAAAATAAGGTACATACCACACAGTGGCAGAAAATATGATTTCACAAAAGAAATCAAGTCATCGGCCGGGCATGGTGGCTCAAGCCTGTAATCCCAGCACTTTGGGAGGCCGAGACGGGTGGATCACGAGGTCAGGAGATCGAGACCATCCTGGCTAACACGGTGAAACCCCATCTCTACTAAAAAATACAAAAAACTAGCCAGGCGAGGTGGCGGGGTGAGCCGAGATCCGGCCACTGCACTCCAGCCTGGGTGACAGAGCAAGACTCCGTCTCAAAAAAAAAAAAAAAAAAAAAAAAAGAAATCAAGTCATCTCTCATGTTTTCTTAGCGTTCTTTTTAACATTTGTCCGTTTCTCATTATACATTTTCACGATTACTTAATTCATGGCCTAAAAGTATGTTTTATGAGAGCATGGTCTGTGACTGGTTTGCTGTATTTAGACTCTGAATCCAGTGTCTTATAAGTGCTTCCAAAATATAAGTTGAAGGAGTTCTGAAAAAAGATACATGACTGAGAAATGGAGAGTCCCGAGACTCTGGTTGACACATCGACACATCGTTGTTTTTCTGACCTTTCCCTGACTTTCTGGATTTTCAAGATGTTTACATATAAAGAGGCCCCCAACACCCTGCTTCGTTTGCAAGAGCAGGACTTACTGAGAACGCCCTGCTTCGTTTGCAAGAGCAGGACTTGTCGGGAACGCCCTGCTTCGTTTGTGAGAGCAGGACTTATGGGGAACACCCTGTTTGTGAGCACGTAGTCCTCTACAGTTTTTTTTTTTTTTTGAGACGGGGTTTTACTGTCTTGCTGTCACTCAAGCTGGAATGCAGTAGCTAAATCATAGCTCACTGCAGCCTCAAACTACTGGGCTCAAGAGATCCTCCTGCCTCTGCCTGCTGAGTATCTAGGACTATAGGAATGCACCATGAATCTCTGGTCCTCAAGTGATCCTACTGCCTTGACCTCCCAAAGCACTGGGATTATAGGTGTGAGCCACCACATCTGGACCTTTAATTCATTTTAAATGATTATAAATGAATTTTGAGATGTTATGAGAAAGGCTTCAATATTTATTTTGTAATTTCAGACATTTCCTGACTATGGCCTTGAAATGCCATTGTTAGCATATCCTAAATTTCCCTGTATACTTGACTTTGTTTCTTGTTCTATATTAATTTCATTCAATTATTCATTCAGTCACTCATCTAATAAAAATTATTGGATATTGTTGTGTATGAGGCACTAGGCTAGTTAAATGGTGTTGGGACAACTAGCTCCATCCCCAATTAATCCAAGGCTCTTTTCAAAATTCTACCTAGTTCAACCTTGCTTGGCCTAATCTAGTTCTGTCCAGTTTATTTCAGTGAACTCAGATTTTTTTTTAGGACCTTGCCTTCGATCCTAAGATTAAGCAGTACAGAAGTAGAGGTGAAAGTGAGAATAAAAACCAATAGGGGAAAGCAATGGGAATGTGGGAAGAACCCAACAAGGGAAAAAGTGAAATTTCTGAGCTGGTTTTAAGATTGGACTAAGGCAAATAAAACAATGATTTTTCTCTTACTTTAAAGTCTTTAAATAGCCCTGAAAAGTGAAATTTATATTCAAACTCTGTGAGACTTAGGAATAGCCCCAAGTGATATTGTTGAAAAATGTACTGTTTCACAATGTACATTAATTAATTTATTTTGGAGAAAAATGAAGGCACAAATAGAAAAAACAAAAATAGCAAAATGAAATTACGAAACTAATAAAAAGCAGATTTTGCATTTATGGAACTTACCAACTAACAATTGAGAAGTCAGAAATAACAAATATAGAACTATGGGTACAGTAATAGAAACAGGTAAATGGTTTCATATAGAAGCCCATGGAGGGAATGGGCAAACTTTCTGGAAAAGGTGAAACTTGACATGGGTCTTCAAGTTTCAGTACGAGTTCTATGGAAGAGAGAATGTTGAATGTCGTGTAATATAGAATATTTCTTTAGGTAAGTGCCCAGGGAATGAATTTCAGAAACGTAAATAACTTGAGCACAGGCCGGGCGCGGTGGCTCAAGCCTGTAATCCCAGCACTTTCGGAGGCCGAGACGGGCGGATCACGAGGTCAGGAGATGGAGACCATCCTGGCTAACACGGTGAAACCCTGTCTCTACTAAAAATACAAAAAAACTAGCCGGGCGAGGTGGCCGGCGCCTGTAGTCCCAGCTGCTCGGGAGGCTGAGGCAGGAGAATGGCGTGAACCCGGAAGGCGGAGCTTGCAGTGAGCTGAGATCCGGCCACTGCACTCCAGCCTGGGGGACAGAGCAAAACTCCGTCTCAAAAAAAAAAAAATAATAATAATAATAATAAATAACTTGAGCACATGTTAAGAAATATTAAAAACATATATGTATTGTGCTGTGAAATAGTTCTGTTATGTAAGTGGTGGGAAAGGAGGCTAAAAAGTACAGTCTTGGGTTATTTCTTCGAATACTATGTGTGGAAGACTCTATTGGCAATCTACCCCAAATCCATTTCAAACTGTTTTTCTTATAAGTGGAACCCCATTTTTGTTCACTGAAATGATGTACCCAAGAAAAATGTACAGTTTCAAGACTTTGGGGGGTGGCCATGCTACACAATTTTTTTGTGTTTTCTTTATGTATTTGAACAAACATTTCTTACTATTTTTCCTAAGTTAGGCACTGGAGATACGGTAATAAAATAAAACAAAAAGAACAGACACAGTCTCTGATGTGGATAAACTTAATTTTCTAACGGAGCAAAGGGATGACACTCAACACATCAGAAAAAGAACCACACAAAATATATAATATGGTATATGGTGATAAGTAACCTGGAAAGAATATCAAACAGGAAAAAATGTTTTACTTTTAAATAGTGTGATCAATGAGAGTGGGCCTCACTGAAAAGAGAACATTTGGTCAAAGACTTAAAGGTAAGAAAGTGCACTGCACCCTGTTGATTTCTGGGGAGAGAGAATTCAGGGCATAAGGGAGACGAAGTACTAAAACTGAGTCAAGAATGTGCTTACTGTGTTCAGGGAATTGCAAGCACAGTAGAAAAGGAAGACAGAGAATAATTATTAAGAGGTAGATGCTCTAGAATCTTGTAGGCATTTTACTCTGTGAGAGTGAAAGCCATTAGAAATTTCAAGCTAAGAAATGACAAGCGTTGACATGACTTTTAACAGGATTTCTCTAGAGGTTGCGTTAATAGTAGACTGTACAGGGTCAAAGTTGATGTCAGAGAAGCAAGTAACAAGGCTGTTAGAGTCATCATGTGAGACATGATAGTGGCTGAACACAGGGTAGTAATAGGAAGGTGGGGAGAAGTGGTCAGGGTCTGGGTATGCTGTATTTTGAAGGGAGGTTTCTGGAATATTACATGTTAAAATGTGAGAAAACTTAGGACTTGAAAATGCTGAGCGTTTGTACTAAGATAATGATAAAATGTTATGGCTACTAATTGAGAAATTAAGATAAAAAAGATTTGGGAAAAAATGGGTTTTCTGTTTGTTTCATTGTTTGTTTTCCTAATGGGTGTAGAAATCAGAAATTTGTTTTCTGACTAGAAAATTTGAGAGTTATCAGACATTCATGTAGAGTTGTCAAACTGGCATTTGGGTTTAGACAGGGGAAAATTCTTGACTGGAGATATATATTAGCTACTGTTAGCATAAAAACAATTTTAAAGCTTTGAGACTGCACAAGATGATCACAGGATTTGGTGGAGAGAAGAGAAGAGAAGAGAGGAGAGGAGAGGAGAGGAGGAGAGGGGAGGGGAAGGGAGAGGAAGGGAGGGGAAGGGAGGGGAGGGGAGGGGAGGGGAGAAGCAGAGTCCTGGGGCTTTCCCATGTCAAGAGTTCAAGTTGGAGAGAGGGTATTAACAAAGGAGATTTAGAAGGATCAGCCAGAGACATAGGAAGAGAGTGAAGACAGTGGGCATTCTGGATGTCATGTGAAGAAAGTTTCAAAGCAGATAGACACATTAATTATTTCAAATGCTTACTTGTAACTCAAGTGAAAAGAAAACTGAAAATGTCTGCTGGATTTGGCAATGTGGAGATCATCAATGAGCTTGACAAGAAGCGTTTTGTTGGTGTGGTTGGGAATTGAAACCTGGTTTGATTGTGGTTAAGGCAAAATGACAACAAAAATATCTAAAGCAGTTATAATATACAAGTCATTCTTTGAAGGAATGCACAATAAATAAAGAGAGGTATGGACTTGAGTTAAAAAAAAAAAAACTAAGGTAGAGAAACGATGGCATGTTTACTTGCTGATTGGAAATAATCAGAGATGGAGAACAACATTCTCTCATGGTTGAGATGGAATGAGATCTTGTAAACAAGAAAACATTTTGGCAAAATATACAACCTTGAAGCAGGTAGGAGTAAATATGATGATGGAAACTTATAGACATTTTCTATTGCTTGCTTCAGGTTTCTCAGTGAAATGTGAAGCAAGGTCATCAGCTGAAAGTGAAGATGTGGTGTGGAGGCATGGAGGCTTAAGGAGACACAATATGAAATAGTCCTTGGGCAGTGGAGAAAGGAATGCAGCAGGAACGATTGCTGGGCAGCATGCAGACCTCCTCCATTCTTTCTTGCATAAATTGTAGATGCAGTGATGAAGACTATAGCAAGCTTGCAATCACACCAAAACAAATGTGAAAACAAAAGCTTCATATGAATGAACAGAAAAGAAACTTTAATTTCTTTCATGTTTTGGAGCCATTCTACTTTTCCTTTACTAACTTCTGACTTCATGATATGTGGAAAAAAACATTATTTTATTAATCCTTAATAGTCAGGTATCAGTTTTATGTGCTCTTAAACTATCCTAACATATACTTCACATTTGGACTTATTTGTTAGATGAAGGGGAGCCACTGAAGTTTTTGAAGACAAATATGACATGACTAGTACTGAGATTTAGAAGATGACTCTAATGTGGCAGATGGATTTTCCCAAAGTATACATTACCTCTATTCCTTGATAACACTTTCTTTGGCTTTGCATCAAAAGCCATTTGCTACCTAATGTAGAAGCTATTACAGCTTGTGCCAAGAAGGAGAGTTATTCAATCAAAACTCATTGAAATGTGTTGTTATCAGGCTGGTGTTTTCTGCTGTGAAATTATTAGGTGAATGCAGTGGTGTCAAAGATTGTTTGAGAACAAATTGCTGTAGGCCTTCAAATTTATAAAAGTGGAGTTTAGATTCCCACTGTGGATTTTGGGCTCCCTGTCAATGTTCTGATGTAGACAACTGTCAGAGTGAGGATAGGCTTTTAAAATAAGATAAATTATCTATGTTCATCTTTAAAGGCCTCAAATTCATTTTGAGTTGTTTGATACGTACATCTTTTATATAATCAGTTCTTGCTGTAATAACAAAGATAGATTTTTAAAACTTGAGATTATTTTGGAGTTTTTTTAAAGGTTAGCAAGTAATATTTTTATTAATTTTATTAAAATTCTGTCAGATATTCTTCAACTCTGGGGCACATGCCACAGGTATATGTGATGGCGTTCTGGAAGAACCTGAATGCTTAATGCAAACCCAGTACATCTTCCTATGCAATCAATTTATTTCATGGCAGTAAATTTAAATACATTTCTGTTCAAAATAACCAATCTTTTTATTAAGTAGTAAAATGCAAATTCTTATAATTTTGATGATACGTGGAAGATAATTTTAAAAATAAAGATATCTAAAGTTAAATTCCTAGATGCCTCTTTTTTATTGACCATTTATTTTTGTATATTGATATTTTGTGACAGGCATTGTACTAGATGAGAAGAATAAAGCATCAGATAAGGAAAACAGGCCTTAATAATAAAAGTCACATCTATTTTGTGAAAGAAGGAAACAGGAACTCAATTTACTGAGCACATACTAAGTGCCAGTCACTGTGGGCCATAGCTTTGACACATTTTACATCCTCGGCTCCATTGCTTAGTGTAATCTGCTTCACTGCTTAGTGTAGGGCCATGCAGCTGGCAGGCTAGCAATAGATGAATATCTCTCTTGTTAAAAATATAGTTGAAGGGATTTCAAAATGATTATAAAGTAGGCAGGCTCTTGTTGAATAGTCAACAGTAAACTATATTTAAAATGTATTCATGCAACTTGAATATTGTAGCACCTGGAAATATCAATATAATTAAACTTCAGTCTAGATTTTTACCTTGAGCTTTTAGGCAATGAACCTTTAAGAAATTATTAGCATTAAGAGAAAATTGGATGCAAGATGTAAACGATAAGGAGTTATCTGCTTAAATAACTCAGAATAATTACTTCAGGATACATTATGTAAATTTTTGTTTTTTAATCTAGAGATAGATTATTTAGTTTGTGAACTATCCTGGCTTCATTAAAGCCATTTTCTCCAACTTCTCTTTTTTTTTTTTGACTTACAAATATTTCTCTAATTTCTACCAGCTTTTCTTCAGAAAGTCCTACAAAAGTTTGAAGAGGAAGGACATTGAAATTAGTGACTAAAAGGAGGTATTTTGTGGATGTCATGTTTTGAATGCTCAAATAACATATATATGGAAACTTATGTCGGTTCCATGGTTTTTTGTATTTGTTTTTGGTCTTTTTCTCAATTCCTTAGCTTTTGTGTCACCTTTTCTATTTTTAGGAGATGCATTGTGCCATAATGCATATTCAGAAGAAAATCCACTTAAATGATAACTTCTTTAGTGTGGGAAAGTGAATGATTTTATTATATTACCTTTGTTTTTCAATACTTTCAAATTTTAAATGGTGAGAATTGTATTAATTTTATGAACAAAAATGTTTAAAATTTTAAAATAAGTCTTGTGTTAATGGAAAATAAACTCTGTAAAATATTGCAGAGATTTTTCTGAGCCAATATGAGTTACTGCATCCCAGAGAGAACACAAACCCAAGAAGCCTTGAATAAGGGGTCCTCAGACAATCAGGTTATAGTTTGGTTTTATACATTTTAGCATGACAGTATCAGAAGTGTCCAAACTAGAACAACTCCACCTTGAATAGGAGCTGGGTAAAATAAGGCTAAAACCTACTGGGCTGCATTCCCAGATTGTTAGGCATTCTAAGTCACAGGATGAGACTGCAGATTTGCACAACATACAAATCATAAAGACCTTGCTGATAAAACAAGTTGCAATAAAGAAGCCGACCAAAACCCACCAAAACCAAGATGGCCATGAGAGTGAACTCAGGTCGTCCTCATTGCTACACTCCCACCAGCGCTATGCAGTTTACAAATGCCATGGCAACATCAGGAAGTTGCCCTATATGGTTTAAAAGGGGAGGCATGAATAATCCACCCCTTGTTTAGCATATAATCAAGAAATAACCATAAAAATGAGCAAACAGCAGCACTCAGGGCTGCTTTGTCTATGGAGTAGCCATTCTTTTATTCCTTTACTTTCCTAATAAACTTGCTTTCCCTTTTCGGCTCGCCCTGAATTCTTTCTTGAATGAGATCCAAGAACCCTCTTTTGGGTTCTGGATATGGACCCCTTTCCTATAACAACAAGAGTTACAAACAAGGATATAAATCAATACATGGGAAGTATAAGTTGTTTCAGTCAGAAAAGGTGAGTCATCTGGAAGAATGCCCTTACAGGGCATTCTTGAGTCGACAATTTGTTGAGAGGGTTAAGCTATTGTATAAAGACTTGAAGTCAATAGAAAGGAAGGCTTGAGTTAAATAAGGAGACTGAGGGGTGGCCACCCCCTCCCCCACCGACAAGGCTCTTGTTATGTAGATGAAGTCTCACAGGTAGCAGCCCTCAGAGAGAATAAATGGTGAATGTCTCTTTTCAGACCTTAAATACATCAGAATCTCAGCTAGAGATTCTGAGAGGAGAGATTCTGATCTCTCCTAAATTCAAAAATGGCCTAGAAAGGGAAGGCATGGCTGCATTAATGGAGATTCTCCACAGAAGCAAATTTCCCTAACAAAAGATGGCTTTGCAGAACCATTTCAAAATATGTCAAATAAATATACTTGGGGGTAGGATATTTTGATTTCCTTCAGGGTCTGCTGTCATGTGATGCTATACTAGAGTGAGTTCAAAAAGCAAGCCACCTTATACAGATTTATTTTTTAAAAATTTGATTTTATTCTCTGTAGGGTGTGACTTAATCTTTGCCTTGCATGGTGTTAGGTTTTGTTGATAATTTGGTGTCTTATTGCCACAAAGAGTCTATTTCGTCAGTCTTAAGATCTCTGTTTTAATCTTAATGCTGGTTAGTTGTGCCTATACTCCAAAAGGAATGGGATATAAGGAGACGCTTCTGACCTCTCTTCCCATCATGGCCAGGAATTCAGTTTTTCAGGTTTCTCTAGGGACTTGGCCTTGGCCTTGGCCAAGAGGTGGTCTTTTTAGTCAGTTGAGGGGCTTAGGATTTTACTTTTGGTTTATACTTGGAAAAAAATAATTAAGGTATACGACTTTAATTTTCTGGTAGATACATCTGGGTAAAAAGCACAAATTTCAAACAGTATTAGATTTTTTAGAAATAGTATCAAAACATCAGTTAGTATATCACAGAATTAACCACTGTTTTGATTTATGGATTAATACATACAAAACCCTGAGAATGGTTTTTTCCTTTATGAAAGATCTTTACATTTATGACTTCAACTACAAAGGAAATGAAATGTCCCAAAGTAGGCAGATGCTTGCCAAGAAAATACTTTCTAACCAATAGTCGAGGGAAGTGGGTCAAGGAAAAGAACCCAAAGCACCACTGTGGAATAAGTAGTAAAAAATATCATTTGCACGTGAACAGATCAGAATTTCCATCTATCTTAGAAACCTGAGTGTTTCCCATGACACAGGAAGTTCCTAAACTAGACCGTTCTTTTCTTTAAACAACACATTGCTGACATTTTTACAATAAAGATTACTTCTATATTGCTAGAGATAAATATCTCTATGAAAAGTTGTAAACTTACTTTTTGTAATATAATTTGAAAAAAATCTTGTATTTCTGGAGTTTTATGAATGTATTGTCTATAAGAAAAAGCATATAAATAAATGCAACAATTGAAATTTTTCAGTGTAGTGTGTCCTTTGTGTAGTATATTTGTTGTCAGTAAATATCATTAATTAGTAATTTATGTTAAGATTTACCGTGAGGCTTTGCTGATGCTTCTATAAGTACCAGGGCATCTATATTTACAGATTTAGTAGTTAGAATATAATGTTAATTTTATATTTATATATTTTTAAAATTAAATATATGTGGATTTTTTTTCTTAGAGAAAGTGGATCTTGGCACTTATTTTAAGGCAAGATTCTCTTTGTAAGTAGCATGGAAGAAATTCAGTCTATAATGACATGAATATTTGAGATAGATGACTTTTTAAAAATTAACTTGGTGTATATAATCTTCAGTACATTGATTTCTTGGTCTATAAAATAAGGTCTTGAGAGGAGGACTGGAGGATGAACTGAATAATATTACTTGAGCTTATTGTCTATTTTTACTGGATTGTACATTTCTGAGGAACAGTCGAAACTGGGTATGGACTTGTGCTTTTTAATATTTCTCTAAGTTTACAAATTGGTTATCTGATAGCTTCTTGCTCTAATGAAATACGTATTTTCCTTCCCCAATAAACAGACTTTTAAAAATTGATATAATTTAAGTTGTTATTGCTAGAAAACATATTCTAAAGCATTGCCTATATAATATTTTAACATTTGGTAAATTTATACATAAGTAAAATTAAGACAAACAAGTAAATTAACGAATTAATTAATAAACAGGATCTTTTAAAATTCCCAACACAAAGAAATGATAAGTGTTTTAGTGCTGAATATACTAATTACCCTTAATCTGATCATGGTATATTATATGTATCAAAGCATCACTCTGTATTCCATGAATAGGTGCAATTATATGTCAATCAAAAAAGAAAATTAAAAAATAATAAAACTCTTTAAAGGTGCATGTTAAACATTTTTAGTCTACTAACTAAGCCACATATTCCAGGAACTGGTTGGTCTGTTTTTTGTTGTCAGTGTTGATCAGCCACACCAGACACAGAATCCAAACATTCAGGGTGGACATGATCCCTTTGCGACAATATTATTTGTTCTATGTTCCTATGCTTGAGTAAAAGGAATAAGAGAGACTATGAGAAATGGAGATGCAAAAAGTGAGGTAGAATACCACAGATGATAGAATAAAATGAGAAAAGGAAAAAGATGAAGCTAGAATACAATGAAAACAACAAAAACATGGAAAAACGTAGTTGTCATTTAATATTTAGAAATGTGTACAATATTAATTTAAAAAATATTTAACCTTCAG